CAGGTGGCTAATGAGTCTTCCTCCAATCCTGATGCCATGTTTTTCTTCATATAACCCAGCTTCTTGGATTATTTGCTTATCATACAGGTTGAACAAATATGGTAAAAGAAAACAACCCTGTCACACATCTTTTTTAATTTTAAACCATTCAGTGTTCCCAGGTTGTGTTCAAACAACTGTCTCTTGGTCCATGTACAGATTCCTCACGAGCACAATTAAGTGTTCCAGAATACTCATACTTTGCAATGTTGTCCAGAGTTTGTTATGATCCACACAATCGAAAGCCTTTCTGATAGTCTCTGCTTTCAGCCAAGATCCATCAGACATCAGCAATGATATCCTTCATTCCACAGCCTCTTCTGAATCTGGCTTGTACCTCTGGAAGTTCTCTGTCAATGTATGATTGATTGTAGCCGTTTCTGTATTACCTTTAGTAAAACTTTACTCACATGGGATATCACACAGATTGCCCGATGATTTCCGCATTTCATTGGGTCACCCTTCTTTGGAATGGGCACAAATATGGATCTCTTCCAATCAGTCGGCCAGATAGTCATCTTCCAAATTTCTTGGCAGAGATGAATGAGTGCCTCTTGTGCCACCTCACTTTCTTGAAATATTTGTATTTTTATTTCATCAGTTCCTGGTGCCTTGTTCTTTGCCAATTCCTTCAATGCACCTTGGACTTCATCCTTCAGTATCATTGGCTCTTGATCATATGCTACCTCTTGAAACAGTTGAATATTAACCATTTCCTTTTGGTACAGCGACTCTGTGTATTCCTTCCATCTTCTCTTGATGCTTTCTGCATCATTCAATAATTTGCCCAGAGAATTCTTCAATAATGAAAGTCAAGGCTTGAATATTTTCTTCAGTTCCCCCAGCTTGAGAAATGCTGAGTGTGTTCTTACTTTTGATTTTCTGATTCCAGATCTTTGCACATTTTGTTGCAATATTTGGCTTTATCTTCTTGAGCTGATCTTTGAAATTTTCTGTTCAGTTCTTATACCTCCTCATTTCTTCCATTTGCTTTAGCTTCTGTATGCTGGAGAGCAAGTTTCAGTGTCTCTTCTGACATCCATTTTGACCTTTACCTTCATTCCTATCTTCTTAATAACTTTTTGCTATCTTCATGCACGTTGTTCTTGATGTCATTCCACAACTTTTCTGGTCTTCTGTGTTTAGTGTATCAAATCTGTTCTTCATATGATCTCTAAATTCAGGTGGAATGTATTCAAGGTCATATTTTGGCTCTTGTGGACTTGTTTCATTTTCTTCAGCTTCAGTTTGAACTTGCATATGAGTAATTGATGGTCAGTTCCACAGACTGCCCCGGCCTTGTTTTCACTGATGATATGGAGCTTTTCCACCGTCTCTTTCTGCAGATATAGTCAGTTTGATTTCTATGTATTCCATCTGGTAAAGTCCATGTGTATATTTGTGTCTTACGCTGTCTAAAGAAGGTATTTGAAATGAACAAAACATTGATTTTACAGAATTCTATCATGTGGTCTCCAGCATCATTTCTATCACC